TGGCTGTGGTTTCAGGTGCACAATTCCACAACACATCACTGTACACTGTATTGTGTGTTTACCACTCCAGGTCTCCTCCCATCACCATTTATCCCCACCTACACTGTCCTCCACAGCTGCCCACCGCCCCCCCAGCCCCGCCTGGCAATCCCCACACTGTTGTCTGTGTCCATGAGTTTTTTTCTTTTTCTCGATCCTTCCAACCCCCACCTTCCCAGTAGCTGTCTCAGCCTGCTCTCTGTCTATGGGTCTAATAGTTTTTAGAGGATAATTTTCTATGTGTTTACAAGCCTATCTCAAAAATATTGTTTAGCTTTTGGTAGTGAAGCTAACTAACATTTTAGTACTGCCTCTTTCTCCCTCCTCTTCTTTCTCCTCCTCAGCCTTCCCATATGCCCTGAAAGAGACCTATAAGTACGTAGAAATGGATTCTCCCTCCTTGTTGGAATTGACCTTGCTTATTGTACTGAATTTGGAATAGAATCCAATGAGTAAATTCCTAAGTAGCTATCTTGAGAACGTGTTAGTATTTTCAAAAGTGCGTTTAGTATTTTCAGAAATACCACTCTGATAGGTGGGGGAGAGTTGCTCTTAAAGTGTTTTTATCAGTGATCCTCACTGGAAATTAAAGACATGTAAAATAAAACAAGTATGAGGAGCCACCCATTCATCTAAAACAGAAAAAAAAACAAATGATAAAGTCCAACATTGTCAGGATCATGAAGAGACAGTCATGTCCATATATTGCTAGTGACACTATAGGTTAGTTAAATCATTTATACGGTAAGAACCATAAAATGAGCCTGTTCACCTAGTTTTACACCAAGGATATGACTCAGAAATTAAGAACTATTCATGTGAATTCTTTTTAGCTGTGGTATAAGCTAGTTATTTGAAAAAAGAAAAACAAAACAAAACAAAAAAAACAGAAGCCCCAAATCTAACAATTGGGAGCTAGTGAAGCAAATTATTATATTAATATAATGATGTACCATTATATTACAATTAAACATTGTTACATGCACTATGTAGATTCAAGGAATATGAAATAAGTGGGAAAAAACTTAAGGAGAACATTCATAACTAAAAATTATATAAGGAAAAAGAAGAAAACTTATCAAGATTATACAGTTTATATTTCAATGCAATTTTGGTTGAATGTACACTTGAAGAAACACACACACACACACACACACACTTGCTACCAAACATGCAGCCTTTTCTTACTTAGTAGTTCACTCCTTTGGATCTAAATGTCTTATGGGGATTTTGACTTTGTGTTGATGGGCCACACATAATGTTCATTGTCCTCAAGAACATGAAGGACAAGCTTGTCTTGAACTCTTACATATTTCAACCCCTCATTTAGACAGTCAACAGGTTCTATTGTTAAAACCTCCCACATGGCAGGAACTGGCTGTTGCAGCAGTAGACTTGGGAACCAGGTTTCATCAAAGGGAGCCCAGGGGCAGGGTGTCCTTGGAGGCTAGCACTCAGTGGGGACAGCTAGAAAGCAAGAGGAGGAGGACTTAGTTGCTAGAAGGAACTTGAGGGAGTGACTGTACCCACCCTCTGTGGTACTTGAATCCCTACTTAACAGCTCTGAGAAGGGTTTCTGCTTGGACTTTTCCAGGGATGGGAAATATACTATGTCCCAGAGCAAACTATTCCATGTGGACTACTCCTTTTTTTCCCCCCTTTTTTATTGATTTTTTTTAGAGAGAGAGGAAGGGAGACGGAGAGAGAGATGGAAACATTGATGAGAGAGAACATCGATTGGCCACCTCTTGCATGTCCCCCACTGGGGATTGGTCCCACAACCTGAGCATGTGCCCTGACTGGGAATCGAACTGGCGACCTCTTGGTGCATGGGTCGACACTCAACCACTGAGCCACACCAGCTGAGCTGGACTACTCCTTTTGATAGAAGGTTCTTCCTTATGTCTAACCAAAGACCTGTCTCCCTTTACATTCTACCTACTGATCGAATTTCTGACTGATCTTTGAGGCCCCACAGAACAAGCCTTATCCACAGGACAGCTTTTTTGTTGTTGTTAATTCTTCCTCAAGGATATTTTTCCATTGATTTTTAGATAGAGTAGAAGGGAGGGAGCGAGAGACATCAATGGGAGAGAGACACATTGATTGGTTGCCTCCAGCACAGTCCCAACTGGGGTCAGGCATCAAACCTGCAACCCAGGTACGAGCCCTTGACCAGGAATCAAAACCTTGACCTTTTGGTCCACGGTCTGATGTTCTAACTGTTGAGCCAAACTGGTCAGGGCATAGGACAGCTTTTAATGGTAGTTTTTATGTCTAACCAACGACCTGCCTCCCTTTACTAAAGTTCCACCTCTCAAGTTGCCATTCCTCCGGGTTGATCCTTCTCCATGCTTCTAACCATTCCTCATTTAGTTGGCTCCCATCCCTTTCTTGATCCTGCTGCTGACTCCTGGCTGCACCGCAATTTGCCATTGTTGCCTTTTATGGTGTGCTACCTGGAACACAAAATACCATGCCTGGCAACACTGAACAGTGCTATATATCATCTACCAGAATCTCTCTCCTAGTGCAGCCTGGAATTGCATTGGCTTATTTGGTATCTATTATTATATCATTGACTTCTGTTAAGCTTATCAACTAAAACCCATATGTAACTTTTTTTTTTTCCTTTTCAACATTCACACAGTTGCCAGGCCACATCTCCCACATCCTGCCGTTGTTTCTTGGACTTTTAGATCTATAGATGTCATCCTCTTTTTGAGCAGTTTTCTTAGCAATACTTTGCTGTGGGTAACTTCAGGTTTTATACGCAATATAAAGAGGCACCTTTACAGTGTTTGAAATGAATTGAATATCTGTACCAAGTAAGCAACAGAGTGGTTTCTTGATTGAAGAGGAGGGATTGGGGAACTTGATGGGGAGGGATTGTATACTGTCTTTTCTCCTTCAGTAACACGCAGGATTCACTTGGAAGGCTCTATTATACAGACACTTTTGGTATATTGGAAGAGACTAAAAACTAGCTGTTGTTTGCATAAGTAATTACATTAGTTGGTTCCTGGAATATTAGAGCTTGAGAGTTGCTGAGAGATTTTAATTTACCCTTTCTGCACGTTTGGAAAAAAGACCCTAGACATATAAAGAGAATTGTTCCAACTTACTAAGCAAACTGGTGATAGAGGCAGCTTTAGAACCTAGGTATTCTAAATTACATAGAAGCTAGCTTATTTATTTTTGCCTGAATAGTAGTTTTCAACTACTTCACGATTTTTTTACCCTGGCCCCTTCATGAGCTTAACTGCCCCAGAGCTAGATGGCTTTAATTCCTCCAGCATGTGAGTGAATGACACCCTCTTAGATACTTGGCAAAGTTGCTCTGGTGGTAAAGCTGGGCAGGATCCCCTTCCTAGCTTCCAAGCTCTTTACTGGCTTTCTACTAAGCACTTTCCTTATGAGATTTGTGGGGTCCCATCTCCATTACAGTTGGTGGGAGAAAATAAGGTCACCCTGGATCACTCAGGTGCCAGGGTGGGGGCAGTTTGTGAAAAGTTCCCTGGTGCTAGACCTGTGGGGGAACTCAGTACAGACCTATCCTGTGGCAGCTAGTGTTGGGTGCATGGCATGCTGTGATGGCTGTCAGAGGTCCTGTCTCCTCACCGGTCTCTGAGAGGACATTAGACTCAGGGTGGGCATCCAGCTGGGGGAGCATAACTGCCCTTATAGGTAGGCAGTTATGCCAGTCTGCCAAGTGTCAGGAGGATTTTTATTTGTAATTTTTAATGTTAATATACCTTTTTTTAAATCACTCAATTGCAGATTCTTGGAGGTCAGGAAGTTGAGTCTTTTTCATTATAATATCCCCTCATGGCAACTGGCACTGTATTCAGTCGATGTTCCAGATTCAGGCAGAGTGTCAGGAGATATGTTCACTGCTTTGCTGCTCCCTGGCTGGGGCTGAGCAGGTCCCTTCATATTTTGGGGATTGATTCTTCATCTGTAAATTGAGCAGTTGGAATGACCTCTGAATGCTCTTTTAGCAATAGTCTCTAGGATTCTGGAGCCTCTCCGACTCCCAAAATGTACCCTTATGATTACGTACCTTAGAGAAGTCGGTCTCAGTACCATTATTGAGAAAGTCTGCCCAGGGGACACCACCCTCACCATCCTTCTCCAGCACACAACAGGAAGGGTCTCTTCTTTCACCATCTTTAAAAAATTGGCAAATCTGTAAAAATAAAAAGGAAGAAGGATTGTGGAGGGGAGCTATTGAGACAAGGGCCAGTGGTGAACACACTCGTGCTCCTGGGCTCCCTCTGTGCTGCTCTCGGCGGCCAGTTCTCAGGGTTCTGGCTGCAAGAAGAGACGGTGAGCGCCACTGACGACCTCCAGAGGGTGTGGGATAGCCAGAAGCCATGGCAGAGAGAGTCATCTGTGGCTTTGGGATCTGGTGGGAAGTTGGGACAGAATTGGGTCATCCGGAGGGTATTTCTTGAATGCAACAAGGTTCTTTCTCTAATGAACGCAGAGGAAAAATGGGATACAATTAAGAATATTTAGGTTCCTGTCCTCTGAGAGCTTGCTCTTGGGGAAAATGGAAGTAGATACCATTTAACTGTTGTTCAAGGTCCAAACAATTATCTCAAAAGAAGGGGTAGTTAATCTCAACCGAAGGATCAGGGAAGGCTTCCAGGAAGTGTCAGTTTACATCTTGCCTCACCTCTGCTCTGTCCAGGTGTGCTGTGACAAATTTAGAATCGGATGAATGTGGCACCAACTGGGAAGGCTGAATGTTAAAAGCTGAGTCAGCTCAGCCTGCCCATGTGAACTTTGTACCTTTTTCATTTTCATAAATACAAGCACTCACATTGTACTTAACCCATAGTGCAGCCGTCATTGAACTACTGTGACAATGGCTGCTTTTGCCCCAGAGCCCACCCGAGGCTTGGAGTTAAAGGCCCCAGCCACTGGAGGTCTTAGCACTGACCCTGTCCCCACAGCTACCATGTCCACACAGAGACTTCGAAATGAGGACTATCCTGACTACAGCTCCACTGATGTGAGCCCAGATGAGAGCCCATCCGAAGGTCTGAACAACTTCTCTTCCTCGGGCTCCTACCAGCGATTCGGAGAAAGCAGCAGCACAACGTAAGTAGCTGTTTCTTCTACCCTCCTGGGGGAAATTCACGTTCCTAAATTCTGCATTAGTAACATAGTATCTCTTGGAGTTATTTTTGCTCCCCATCTTCCCAGTTCCCCCACTTTATTGATGAAAATAAGATATAAAGAGGTTGGGCAATTAACAGTGCTGAGATTTGAGCTTCTTGCCTGCCACTCTGTAGTCTGTTTCTTTCTTTCTTTTTTTTAAAATATGTTTTTATTGATTTTTTTAGAGAGAGAGGAAAGGAGAGAGAGAGAGAGAGAGAAACATCAATATGAGAGAGAAATATTGATCAGCTGCCTCCTACACACCCCCTACTGGGGATCAAGCCAGAAACCGGGGCATATGCCCTGACCCAGAATCAAACCAGGACCTCTCAGTCCACGGGATGATGCTCAATCCACTGAGCCACACTGGTTGGGCTATAGTCTGTTTCTTATCTTTGTTCATTTCTACTGTGTTGGTCCTAGAAGGCTAGACCAACTCATGCTGACTAAGAGCATGAACATAAGAAAAACTTGTAGAGAGAACATTCTCTTAATTTAGAACCATGGGTCACCTGTACTAGAACCTCAAATACCTCTGAGCCCAATTGGAAGCCTCCTTTGCAAAGTTTCCCTCACACTTCTGTCACTGTCACCAAACAGCCAATTCATTTGGCTGAAGAAATAGGAAGAGGGAGGAATAACTTCTGCACTAAAAAAAAAAAAAAAAAAAAAATCAAGGGGTTAATAGAGGAGATCTGCTTTGCATTCTCTAAGAAGGGCTTATGTGTCATCCTTGGAAACTGAATCCCAAGGCTTATCTGGGCTGAGTTTGGCCCTCAGTTCCCCCAAATGTAAGATAAAATTGAGGACCTCACTGTGAAGCTATGCTTACTGTCTCATGCTTTCCACTCAAATGACATGATTCAGAGGAGCGTTTTCTATTCCATTGAGTTCTCCAACCAGGTCCCCAATCTCAGCAGACCCTGACATTTTCTTGGGCATCCCAGCATCCCATCCTTTACAGACCTTCTGTTTATTCCTCAAGCTTAGCTATCACCCTTTTTGTGTTCCCTTGTTGATCAAGTATGATTTATTGAGGGATCCCTTGTGTCCTAGACTTACGCTGTCCCCTGTGAAGGCCCAAGGAGACCATGGAAGCTTCTCTTGGAAGTCATTAATAGTGAAACTCCCTCTGGCTGTAATCTCTCCTGGTGTAGGGCACTTTCTCTGGTGAACTGGACTGTTCACATTAGCAGCCCCCTGCTCTCTGAGTTCTGCTCAGAACGCTTCAGTCTCTATAGCTTATTTATCTTGTGGCATGCTTTTATAGATTCCCCCCATTTTCTTGCATTGTTACCTGATGGAAAAGATTGCATAGAGCACAACTGGGAGCAGTGAGGACCATCTTTCCCATCTTTCCTCCTAACCTTTTCCATCCATGTGGCTTCCCCCAGGCGAACGAGCTCCAGATGCAGCCAATGACATGTGATAGCTTCCCTTCAGAAGTCACACTCATTATTGTGAAATATTTCTTTTAAACTTCTCTCTCTATAGTTCCCCTCTCAGTTTTTGCTCCTTGTTCTCAGGCATTAACTTGTTTATGCAATGTTTGCCATCTGGTCTAAATTTTCATTTTTAAAGAGACATCTCTGAAGTTCGATGAGAACCAGCTAGCAGTTTCAGGATGGTAGCTCATAGGTTTTATATGTATTGAAGCTAATGCATGCCTATTAGCTATTCTAAATGTTTCTTTTTTTCACATTGAGTTATAACTAGTAGTCAACCCCATATTATTTACCCTTGTTTGTTGGAAATTGAGCAAATCAGAAGATATCTTTCTTGGGCTTTTTATTGGGATGTTTTTCAGGGTATACTTTGTTCTGAGGGATGTCCTGCCTTCACTGTGATGCAAGATAGGTGACCCAAAAGCCCATCTGTAAGTGATGGCAGGTATCACAGTCCCATCATAAGGAGATAGTAACCTCAAGAAAAAGAGTCAACGGTATTTGTTGCCCACAATAAAATTTGAGCTTTCAATATTAGAAAAAAAACGTGTATCCAGCACTGTGAGCTTGGACAGCTCCCCTCTGCTTAAAGATTTTCTGAATGAGATCAGTGATGATATTAATAAGTGTGATTTTTTGACATTATATAAGGTAATATGTCATCATTTGGAAGATTTGTGTAACCCAGAGAACCAGTATCTTCCAAATGACCAAAGTGGGATGTTAGAAAATTGTGTGTGGGTAAAAAGATCATTCAAAGAGCAAAATTAACAGTGGGTTTTAATGTAATAGAGGATGAAAAGGTCAGATTCCACATTACAACTAACTTCTAAGAAACGACCACATGTTGAGTTTTGGTGTAGTATCAATAATGATTACCACAATTTTCTGAAGAGGCGATTAAAAGACTCCTTTTCCAAATACATGTCTGTGTGAGGACAGATTTTCTGCATACTTCAACTTAAACAACATATCACAGTAGGGTGAATGCAGTAGATGATCTAGCTATCTTCTATTAAGCAAGACATGAAAGAGATTTGCAAAAAAGTAAAGTAGTGCCATTCTTCTTCCATTTTATTTTTTGGAAAATAGAGTTACTTTTCATTAAAAATCTGTTATTTATTTATATTAACATGAAATATGTTTGTAGCTATTTTAAATGAATAAATATTTGTACAATTTCTTGGTTTTAATTTGTAATATAGTATATATATATCAGCAGATATAATCTATGTAAGCAAAAGCTATTTGGGATCCTCAGTAATTTATAAGTATGTTAAGGGATCCTGAGAGCAAAAAGCATAAGAACTACTGATTTAGAGCATAAACAGAGCCACAAAGATTTGCAAGGCTTATTAAGATGTTATTTGCCTTATTAACCACCTCTCGGATCCCCAGTTAAGACTTTGCAGTCCCTGGAGTTGAATTAATGATACTCATGATTTTGGGTAATCCCAGCTGTGGGCCACTGAGTAAAAAGAGTAATTTTGGTCAATTGCCTAGAATCCTGGTGTTTCAGAGCTGAAGGGACATGGAGAATGTGTTGTCCTAGTCCAGTCTCCTCACTCTGCAGACGGACAGCAGGCCCGAGAAGGGAAGGGAATTGTCATGGAATTAGTGTCAGAGTCAGGGCTGGAGGGACCTGATCTCCCACAACACCCAGCTCAGGCATCTAGGGGAGGGCTCTGGGAGGCAGCTGGGTTTGGTACAGTGCTTACCTTTGCCAAGATAGAAATTTTATTGGCTCATCATCCTCCCCATAATCTCCTGGTCACTGGCTGCTGATAATGGAGTCACTCCTGGAACCCTGCAGTCTGTCCTTAAGCTGTCTCCTCAGAACAGTCCAGAAGAACATTTAGCGTCTTGTTTTTATTTTATTTTATTTTTTTTTCCTCACCCGAGGATATTTTTCCATTTTTTGTACAGATAGAGTGGGAGGGAGAGAGAGGAAGGGAGAGAGAGAGAGAAACATCGACGTGAAGGGACACATCGAGTGGCTGCCACCCGCACAACCAACCAGGGCCGGGGACAAACTGCAACCGAAGTACGTGCCCTTAGTGGGAACCGAACCCGGGTCTCTCCGGACCGCAGGCCGACGCTTTAACCGCTGAGCCAAACTGGCCAGGGCTCAGCGTCTTGTTTTTAGAGTCGAAGCAGTAGCCTTAAAAACTTGGGGACAGGAAATTAGAGAAGTTTTCTTCTTGGAGGTAGAAGGAGAAAGGTTACCAGAAGTAAAATTCCTTTCCAGAGGATAATGGTGAGTCTAATATGGTCAAATAGCATGTGTTATTTGCTTTCTGTTTCTCCTGAATTGCAGAAATGTGTATAAGTATCATTTAGGAGGAATTTAGGTTATTTTCACAGAAGAATTTCAAGACAGTGCCAGGGGACACTGTGATCTGTGAGTGAGTCTGTGATCTGTGTGAAAACCATAATATTTATGACTTGATCCGTATCCTTTTGGAAGTAACAGAAGAATAGAAAATGCTGAAGACAAGGCCAGTCCTCTGTTGTCAGTCCTTTGATGAGTTCCCATTCCCTAGGGAAAAAGTAGGACTTCCTTGTCCATTCTCACTCCTACCTTAGTGGCTGCAAAGCCGGCTCACTCTTTCATGTTGGTGCCCCATGTTTCTCTCTAGACTCATGTTCCCAGGCCTGCCTTCCTCATTGGCACACTTACAAGCCCTACCTGCTTGCTGGGTTCTGCTCAGGACTCTCCCCTCTGAGCTCTCACCTGCCCCCTTCCTGGGCATTGTTCCTGGCTCTTCAGATCAGGATCTTTCTCCCTTGAGACATTATTAGTTTCTAGAGACTGAGGTCTGTGTCTGATTATTTATTTCCACCACTGCATTAACACAATGTTTACCCATGATAGCAATTGGCTGAGTGAAGAAATAAATGAGGAAGTGCGCGAGGCTTTACAATTACACCCTGAGGGGGATAGTCTGTATAACAGGTGAGGGAAACATCTGTCCTCAATGCAGATGGATAAGCCAGGTGATTGAAGGGGGCGTCTCTAATCCTAGTGGAGAATTGGAGAATTGTGTGGATTGCCCTTCTCTGTTATGAGTGAGAGCGGGGTTCTTGGGGCACTGCTGGAGTAAGCATTTCTGGAAACCCCCACGGAAAGAGATGTGGTAAAAAGCTTTATTTGTGTGAAGTTATATCCCTCGGTTTCTAATGTCCCAGTTCCCTTAAACTGGTCCCGGAAAATGTGCAACTGGGGATTCAGCAGAGCTAAAAGCAAAGCCAGCATCCAACGTTTCCGTGCCATGGTGGAGTTGGGTCTCAAGTAGCATCAGATTAGTTTCAGTCCACTCGTCCATTGTGTGTGGGGTCCACAGGGCTGTGAGCCGAGTGGGCGAATGCAGGGCTCGAGAGCCCCACAAGGCAGGATCAGGCATGAGCAAGCACGAGAGAACCAAGAGGACGGAACTCCTTTGTCAGGTGTTTAAATATCAAATCTTCCCAAGCTTGCAGCGGCCACTTCATTCTGGCCAATGACTTGTTTCCAGGTGTGACTGATAGGCAAGCATCTTCCCATGTCACCCAGACCTCACTGGGCATGCACCTAAACTGCCTCTGTCCAGCCCCTTCCCCCATGGATCTGTGGGAGCAGACCTGGAGAGTGTTAAACTGCAGTTTCCTGGCAAAGCTGTGTAAATGACATGCCTGTGTTGTCTGGCCTTCCCTTTGCTCCTTTCCCTTTAATTAGTAACCAGATTATTACAATGGTACCACTAGGACGCTGTGGCATTTGACTTTTTTTTTTTAAAGCAAAGTATGCTAGGGACTTCTGGCCTGTTGAGGTACTGTGTGACTTTTATTCTGTTCACTTCCCATAAAACTTTTTTTATTTAAACAGGAGAAAAGCTTTAATATGTGCACAAGGAGAATTCAGATAGGCATGAAAATTCCCTCCATAAAACTTTCTGTTAAGGGTTTGGGGCTTCCTTTTTTTATTTCCCCTGTTCTCTGATACTGGTATCTGCCCTACACAGTGAAGCTTGTCATCCTCTATTACAGGATGGGATCTGATTCTTTACAGTGGACAGGTCTGTGGTGAAAACCAGGCCCAGATACATTAGGGAAGGATAGAGTGCCTGGAAAGAATCCTACCAGTCCTCTGGTCTAATCTCCAAGAAAGAGGGGGTTCTCAGAGATGCCATAGGGAGCAGAGCTTATAGCCCAGTGGCTAGGAGAGTGAGCTTGGGGATGAGACCTCCTCACTGAATCCTGGTTCAACTCTTCGCCAGGTGTGTGACCTTGGGCAAGTTATTTCCTCATCCATAAAATGAAGTTAACACATATCTCATAGGGTTGTCCTGGAAACTGAATGAGGTAATACATGAAGGCATTTAGCACTGTGCTAAGTGCTTAATCAATTTAGCTTTCATTGTTGTTAACATGCCCTTGTCTACCTTCTTCCCACTTCAGATGGTTCCAGACTTTGATCCACCTGTTAAAAGGCAACATTGGCACAGGACTCCTGGGGCTGCCCCTGGCAGTGAAAAATGCAGGCATCTTGGTAAGGGTCTGCATCGGTGGAGGGAAGTTGCATGACATTTTTAGAATAGTGGGTTTTTAAGCAATTGTTTACTTCATTTAAAACATTGTAATGAAAGCCTTAAAAAGCACTCAGCTGAGAAAAAGAAAAATTCGGATGTTCATTTATCTAAAGATATTTATTGAGGGCCTTTTGTGCGCCAGGCTCTGTTCTAGGCTCGTAGGATACTATCAGTAAATAAAACAGATAGATTCCTGCCCTTATGGAGCTTCCTTTCTGGTGGGGAGGAGGTACTTGAAATAGCTCAGGCAGTTTCTATCAATAATGTTAACTAATGTGTTAGTAACAGAAGTCTGTCCATTTTCTACACAGTCCTTCCACACCCCATCTCTAGATGACCAACTCTGAGAATGTTTTTCTTTTATGATTTACTTCCTATAGACTCCTGTCCAAAGCCATCTGATTTTTGTTAGAGTTGGAGAAAGCTCAGAGATGTGGGGTGTCCTTAGCTGAGTGTGGTCTTTCTTGATCTGGTCTGGCTCTTAAAAGAACCTTTGCCGTCCCCCACACTCCTTAACCCATCTCCTTTTTGTAAACAGTCAGAGCCTTCTGTTCTGCTGATGGGCTACAGCCTTGGCACAGCCTTATCTTGTGTCATTCTCCACGAGATTAATTCTCTCGAAGGCATGCTAAGGTTCAGATGATGCTCGTCTCACCAAGCTGACCTCCACGATCACATTTCTGTCGTTGGGTAGTGCCTTAGTGTAGCATTTTTGATCATTTCAAATCCAGTCTGTTTGACTCACGGCTAATTCTCCTGCTTGTCTCTCCCTCTCTTGCCCGTAACACCTGTCCCCAGATGGGTCCCCTCAGCCTGCTGGTGATAGGCATCGTGGCCGTGCACTGCATGGGTATCCTGGTGAAATGTGCTCACCACTTCTGCCGCAGGTGAGAGCCCTCTGAGCCGCCTCTTGTCCTTTCAGGTTTCATTGCCTGAAAGGTCGCTGTGATTAACGTTGCCCGTTATTGTTGTGTCCTTTTTCATCCTGTGTCATCTGTCACATTTACTTATGTGCAGTGGACATAGTAAGTTATAATTTTATATGCTTTGTAATATTTACCTATTGAAATGGTTCTGCCAGACGGTTTTTAATTATAATGAAGGTAAATGTCCCGTTGACTTGCTACTTCTGATCCCTGAAAGCATTTGACCCAGGACTCAGTTATATCTCCGAGGTGACAGATGGGGAACTGGCCCAGGTCTCAGTGAGCTGCATTTGTTCTGTCATTGTCTAACCCACACACCCTGCCCTTCCTCTCTCCCGCTCCTCCTCCCAGACTGAACAAGCCCTTTGTGGACTATGGGGAGACAGTGATGTACGGACTGGAATCCAGCCCTATCCCCTGGCTCCGGAACCACGCACACTGGGGAAGGTAACTGGTTTCCTCTCTCATTGTGGCTGTGGACGCCCGGTGGTAAGGCCTTCAGATAGGGGGTGAGATGTGCGAGACAGTGTATGTAGTGGAAAGACCATCGTTTGGGTCAGTGAACTTGCGTTCCAGTTCAGCCTTTTGGTGCTAATCTCTGCGACCGTGGGCTCTGTGACCCCTCCCTTCTCTGGGCCTCAGTTCCCCCATCGGTAAAATAAGGGGCCTGGCCTGAAAGATCTCTATAGGTTGTTCCGGCTTTGACGGTCTATGAACAGGGATAATTCCCTCATTGTTCAACAAATATATATGAGCACTCTCTCTTAAGTGGTATCAAACAATTCTCAGTATAGGGAGGGGGAATTCTCTGAGATAAACTGTGTGGTCCCGGTGCTGCAGGAGCTTGTAGTTTTTCTAAGGAGAATGGGGCGTGAGAAGTTTGTGAACAAGGGATCAGGAGTAGTATAAACCAGTAAGAAGAAAGTGTCCTGAGCTATAAATACATGCTAGGCACTCAGAGGGGAGAAGCTTTCCAGATCTCTAGTCCGCTGTGCCGGATAGAAGTGCACATGGTAGGTGCCTTAAGGGCACTGGCAGGAGGAGGAGGACTTCGAGGAGGAGGGGAGGAGCTAGAACAATGGGGTATGTTAGGGAAAGATATTTCAGGAGGTGGGGATTCTTTTGGAAATTTTTCCTTATGGTAACTTGTCAGATGCCTGAAGGGAAATATCCCTTTTAGATATAGAGAATTGATACCATTCAGGGCTGAGTCCTTTAAAAAAATTGAATTACATTAAAACTATATTCTTCAGAAAAACTCTTTTTTTGTGGTTATAGGAAGACTTGCACCTTCACTCATTGCAAACTTCCTCCTGTGATGCAGGTTTATATACTCCTTTCAGCAAAATCATTTTCTGTGATTGGGAGAACCCAGCTTGCCCAGTGACCATTGTTGGTTGGTTGGTTGGCTGTTGATTGATTCTTCTCTCCCTCTATCCCTCCCTTTCTCCCTGCCCGCTTCTCTCCCTCTCTGTCTGTCCTTCTCCCTCTTCTCTTTACTCTTTCTTTCTCGCCCTCTTTCATTTTCTCCCCATGGCTCCCTCTGCCCCCTTCCTTACCTTCTCGCTCCCTTCCTTACTTGCTTTAATAAAATTAATGTGTACTCATGGTAAAAAATAATTTTTTGAACAAAATAAAAGGACATAAAGCAAAAAGTAAAATATATATACTGGTTACAGTTGTATGGGTATCCTTTGGATTATCTGTAGATATACAAACATGTACATGTTCTTAAAATTTTTTTTATAAATTGACCATATTATGCATACTGTTAGGAAACTAAATTTTTCCCTTAAAGGCCTTACTCATTTCTCTATCAGCCCGTATAGACGTAATGTATGCTTTTTAGCTACTGTATGCTGTTCCATTTAAGAACGGTCTATAATTTAACCATTTTTCTTTTGACGACCCTTTAGGTTGTTACCAGCTATTGCTGTTGTAACAGTGCTTCAACCAGCAGTTTGTTTGGGTACATCTGTTTCTGTGTACTTATGTGAGAGTAGATTGTTTCTTGGATTCAAGTTATAGAAAACGACTGTGAAGGGGTCCACACTTCCTGGCTATTATGCTGAGGTTCCCTGTAGCTTTAGAACAAACGGTGTGAGATGGGATAGATGGGCCATGGGGAGGGGGAGGTCAGGGGGCTGGGCAAGTTGTCCTGGTATGTGTGCTGTGCTCCGGCCCTTCCAGTCTTGGTATTGCCTTACCTCATGCAACAAGATGCCAGGAAGGGGACCTTGGAAACCACACAGATAGCACCTCTTTCACCTTCCAAAGCTCCAGACTGGTGGCACTTAGCACAATTTCTCCTTGCACCAGGGCACACTCATTCTTGTCACCTGATGGGAAGGGTCTTTGATGACTGGGGCAAGAGCACTGTTCAAACTGTCTCTCGGGGAGTCTTGCTTTATATCGTCGTAATCTTTGTATTCCTTCCTTCTCCACCTTCAGGCACATTGTGGACTTCTTCCTCATTGTCACGCAGCTGGGATTCTGCTGTGTCTATTTTGTTTTTCTGGCTGACAACTTTAAACAGGTGGGCCCCTTGTTGAGAGACAGAGAGAGAGAATGAATGAGTGAATGGCAAGAGATGAGTGAACTTTCTGTTTAGGATTTTTTCCAAACCAGTTTTTTAAAAAAGTAAAACCAGTTTTGATCAACAAAAGAATTAAGATTCTTTACTTGGAACACTTTACATAGAACAATGTCTTTTGTTTGATTTCATCTAAAGACCTAGGGCATTGAGAAACTAAAAATGTCTTGTCCTCCTTCCTGTCTTTAGGTAAGATATGGTCAAACCCAGCTCAATAATTAGGTTGCCATGATAATTATGAAGATCTCCAAAGACACTTCACCAACCACAGACTTCTGTATGGCCTTTTTCATACACTGAACAACATTAGTCAGGAACCACTTCTAGTGGGAAGTCCACTGACCACAGTCATTTGAGAGGCCTTTTCTATTTCTTGTCTTCCCCTTACTCTAGGTGATAGAAGCAGCCAATGCAACCACCAATGACTGCCACATCAATGAGACAGTGATTCTGACGCCTACCATGGACTCGAGACTCTACATGCTCACCTTCCTGCCGTTCCTGGTGCTGCTGGTGTTTGTTAGGAACCTTCGAGTCCTGGCCATCTTCTCCCTGTTGGCCAACATCACCATGCTGGTCAGCCTGGTCATGATCTACCAGTTCATTGTTCAGGTACAAGCCCAGGCTCTCTCCTCCCACCTAGTAACTAATCAAAGAAACAAACAAAACAAGTAAGTGGAACATAAATAGGAATATGTTACTTATGCGTGGTATATTTACATTAGGGGTTCTCAGCTTCAACACTATAGACATTTAGGGTGGGGTGATTGTTGTGGAGGGCTGTTCTGTGCCTCTTGGGATATTTAGCAGCCTCGCTGGTATCTACCCTCTAGGTGCTAGTAGCAATGCCTCCCCTCCTGCTGTGACAATGAGCATGTCCCCAGATCCTGCCAAACGTGACGGGGTGGGGAAGGGGGCAAAGTCACTCCCCTTGAGATCACTGGTTTACACTGTTCCCCAGTTAGACAGTTAATACATGGATCATTTTATGAGACTGGAAAATAGAGAAAAGTATTAAGATAAAAATAAAAACCAATTCTTCTAATCTATATTTAGATAAAATAATTCCCCACCACTCTAGTTTTATATTTGTCAAAATTATAAATCTAGTTATTGTTCCCCCTCCCGGAGCCCATGTGGGCAGGCCTGTGGGGTAATGCGTGAGAGGATGGGTATCTAGAGGGGTGGGAGGTCAGGCTGAGAAAAATGTGCCCTTAAACACTGTGGCTGTGGGCAGTATGTTGCATTTTGCCAGAACTTGAGAAAAGAACAGAGTGACAGCAGTTGAGTAAAAGTATAACTCTTTAAAAAAGTATCTAAATTTAATTCCTCTGCCCTGGCTTGTGTGGCAGAGGTGTGGCTCAGTTGGTTGGGTGTCGTCCAGTGCACCGAGAGGTCGCTGGTTCAATTCCTGGTCAGGACACATGCCTGGGTTGCAGGCTGGATCCCCAGTAGGAGGCTTGCAGGGGCAGCCGATTGATGTTTTGCTGTCACATTGATGTTTCTCTCTTCTCCCTTCCTCTCAAAAAAATCAATAAACTATTCTTTTAAAAAAAAAAATTTCTTCCCGCCCTAGCTGGTTTGGCTCAGCGGTTGGAGCGTCGGCCTGTGGTCCAGAGAGACCTGTGGTCCAGAGAGACGAGGGCATGTACCTCGGGTGCAGTTTGTCCCCAGCCCTGGTTGGGTCGTGTGGGGGGCAGCCACTCAATGTGTCCCTTTCACATAGATGTTTCTCTCTCTCTCCCTTCCACTCTATCTGAAGAAAAAATGGAAGGGTATCCTCGGGTGAGGATAAAAAACATATATATATTTTTTACATTGTCAGGTTGCTTTTTCTAAAAATTACTGATTTCATATAGACTCTGTTCCACAGCACCTAAGTTTCCCATCCTAGCCAACACTGGATATATCAGTCATTCTAATTTTGGTCAGTCTGACAGGTGAACTGGACCTCATTTTCACAGTTACCCACTGATGTGCTTTCTAGGACAACAGTGGGTCAGAAAAAGTAAGGACTTCTGTACTGAAGAAATGACAATGAATTAGGTTGTACTTAGTGAGCATTTACTGTTTTTTCCTTGTCCAAGTGAGTCAGATGGGTGGCAGATATTGACTCTTCTGCAGAATTATTGTTTAAAACGAAAAATAAACAGCTTTCCATGTCCCATTTTATTGTGAGACTGGAAGATGGACCTGTGAATGCACAGTGGATCATTTCCAGAGAGTTTTCCCCCTGCCTCAGCAAATTAAGTTAAAACAGAGAAGGGTAAATAAATTCTTGATTTAATTTTGTAATTAGAGATCTCAGTGCCTAGGAAATACTGCAGTGGACATTAAAGAGTGACACACAGACCACATGCATTATAAACTGGTGCAGGTAGTTGGACTGTGGTCGTGATGATCAGAGGGCTGGGATCGGAATATGAGTGTGATAGCATCTCAGTCCCAGTTGCAGGAAGTGTCTCACTCAGAACCGTTGTCTGTGCATAGGACAACCTGCACTTTTGGGTGAGGCAGTCCTGCTGATTTCTTGAGAGCAATTCTGAGCCTGCCTCTCGGCTCAGCCAGGCGGGGTGTTGTGATAAGTAGTGCTAGCTGCCCGTGGCAGATTGCTGGTTTGGCTGTGTTGAGCAGCTTCGTTTTGACGTGGCACGTAGCTAAAGATGTTCCCTCTGGGTCGCGTTTGTTGCTGCTGCTGCTGCTGCTGCTGCTGCTAACTACTGTCCTGTCTTGGCGCTTTGCTCTCTGTACCAAAGGATTTCACCGCTGTATGATATTCCTGAATTTTTACGTAATCCTGAGATGTACGTGGCTGGTGCTCTTGTTCCTTGTGCACATGCCGTCTTAGGAAGCCGACCGAGCTCTTCCACCAGAGCATGTTTTCCTAGAACAAATGGATGGCAGCACAGTTCTGAGCAGAATGCTTGCCCAGATGAGATTCGCAATAAATATTTTATCACTGCATATCCTTAATTCTGAGATGCATTTGTTCACACTTACAGTGTTTCCAAAATTGGAGTACATCTTTCAGTTCTTACATGCACTTAACAGCACTTTCTCAAAAAGCTGTTATTATAATTGATAGTGTAGAACTGAGGAGATAATATATTGATAGCTGATTTTAATTTGTATGTTTCTTTGCATGTTAAACTTTCTTCATTTAGGTGTTTGGGTTATAAGTCAGTAGCGATGATTAGATATGTAGAATTTTAAATTCCTTTTGCTGGTCTCATTTACACCACTATTCCCAGATGTATTCTGAAGTTCCCTCTCTGCTGCGTCAACCTGACCTGATGTGTGAACCTGAGCAGTAGTCATCCTCTAACCAACAGCTTGCTCCTGTTTCCAGGAACTTAAGTCACACTGTGACTCAGGGATAATTACTGGGTACTCTCACTCTCTTGTCTCATTGTATAGCAGAATTATCTATTGTTTGTCTTCATCCAGTTACTGAAATGCTTCTTGTGAAGAGAGCTAACTGATTTCTTAGCAGCGGTTCAGGAAAAAACGTATTTTTAAAATTCTTTATGTTTTAGGGAGATGATAGTATAATTACTTTGAATCCTTTCAAAGAGAATCCCATTGCAGAGATTAATATTAGCTCTTCTTTTGTTCACTGATATTATTCTGTCACACTGTTAGAACATGCCCCATGTTTATCTAAATGCCTCTGTAGTTAAATCAGTTTTAAAACATTGTAAAAGGCAGTTGCAAAGTCAATCTTTATTTCAGTCTAAGCCTTGTACACACATGGTTTAAAAAGCCAAATTGTAAAAGGACGCTTTCTGCTCCATCATTGCTGTCTGTTACTGGGTGCTGCTGTGCAGTGTGAACCAGTAGGATTCTGTGTCTGCATCTCCTTGCTTGGGTTGTATATCCTTGCATTCTACCTGCAGTTCACAATTGCCTTGGTTTTTATTTGCCTATTTTTTAAATGCTCTTTTTGCTATTTTTTCCCAAGTGTTTCAATACTCTTGTCACCTGTCAATAGTTTCCAAGTACACTAAACTTATTCATAAGAATTTTTTTAAAAAGAAAGAAAAGTAGGAAAAAAAGAGAAAAAGAACACATCTCAGAATTTACCATCTTCCCCTCCAGATTTATCTGTGTGGAGTGTTTATGTAGTTGTATCATAGTGAATACGTAAATTTAAATTTTGTATTTTTTAAATTATTATTTTGTAGGCAGTTTTTCATGTGCTACTTAGTTATCTTAGTTTTTACTTTTTAAATAGCGCATGATATTCTGTGGTATAGTTGATGTGAGTAAACTAAATATTCACTTGTTTGGAAACATTTAGGTTGTTTTTAATTACTAATAGCTTTGTTCAACTTATTTATTTATTTATTTTATCCTCACCCGAGGACATTTTTCCATTTTTTGTTCAGATAGAGTGGGAGGGAGAGAGAGAAAGAGAAGGAGAGAGAGAGAGAAACATCGACGTGAAAGGGGCACATCGAGTGGCTGCCACCTGCACGACCAACCAGGGCCGGGGACAAACTGCAACCGAGGTACGTGCCCTTAGCGGGAACCGAACCTGGGTCTCTCTGGACCGCAGGCTGACGCTCTGACCGCTGAGCCAAACCGGCCAGGGCTGTTCAACTTTTCTGTATTCCGATTTTTTTTCTACTTGATTAAATTTCCAAGGATGTGATTACCTAGGGAAAGAACGTGACTATTTTTATGCAGGCTTCAACACTGGAGTTTTTTATGGTACATTGGGCTAGTCCTTTCCCAAAGTAAGTAGGGTTTTCTCAGCCTGAAGGGAAAAAGGTACACAGGCTAAATGTCCCCCAATCGTTTGTCAGGTGTCAGGCCTTCTCCCTTCAGAGAAGCTAGGATTTAGGAAAAGTATGACCTGTCTGATGTTGGGATTCAGATCTTGAAGCTCTGTATGTATAGGCTTTGCTTTGTTTTATTTTCTCTCTTTCAGAGGATCCCAGACCCCAGACGCCTCCCCTTGGTGGCATCCTGGAAGACCTACCCTCTGTTTTTTGGCACAGCCATTTTTGCATTTGAAGGCATCGGGATGGTAAGAGCTGCACTGTGATTCTCTGGTGTCCTTGGTGTCCTTGAGGTCTGCTTTAAGGAATGCCGAGGAAATGCTATTGGAAATGGTTTGAGACTTAATGGCGAGTTAGTGAATAGCATTTCAGCGATTTCATTGATGTTCTCAAGTGTAATTTGAGAATGTTTACATTCAAACCAGCTCTTTTGCACACCCATCTTCTGCATGTACAGTAAGCAGTAGTACATGGCAATTAGGAATGCAGAAGTTATTCTTTGCTTCATTTCGTTAGCCAAGACTTGAAAACGGAGTCATTCTGTAATTAGCGCCATCTATTACTTCAAGATTTTTCTGTTTTTACAGTAGAGAGAACATTGCTATTTTGACCCTTAGTTTGGACTTGGGGGCTGTTGAGCATATCCGGGTAAAGTACCACTGCTCACTGTTCACTGTGCGCTCTCTGTGTTTGCACCGCAGGCCCAGGCCTGGCAGTCATGGAGGAGGGGGGCCCTGCCTGCTGTCTCTTCAGACTCCATAGGAGGACACTGAAGGAAAGCTTAGAAACTGACTCTGATTGGATGTGGATCAACTGTAGCTTGAGACCCTTGAGCTGGTGGCATGGGGGTTGAGGAAGGCCAGCTGGGAATGCAGAGCTGTGGCACCCCTCAGAGCACCAGGCTTTGGCTCTGGTGTCTGCTGGGGTGTGTCTGACACAGACCTGCTCTGCCTCGTGGCCACAGGCACTGGGGACAAAGGAGTGTATGACAAGGTCAAAGATAGTTTGTAGTCATTGTCCTGCCGTTGCTTTTCCTTATGGGTCATGCCAGAAGCAGTTAATGGCAGATTGTGAGATTGTCATAGTTATTCCTCCGGTCTTCCCTGTTCCTCAGTCAACCAATCCTTCTGTTCTCTCCTTTGCTTTAGTGAAGATTAAAGAACGTTCTCTGCTGTGAGGGAGGAGGCGGCGAGGGTCAATGGTTTGAAATAGGAGTCTGGAAACTGGGTTTTGTTATACATATCTGAGATCCTAAATATTCAAGATCCTTTATTAAATCATGCCACCCCAAGCACCTCGGTTTCTCTAACTTGGAGGTTTAACTTGTCACTGCTGGTGCCTACCCCTTGTGAGGTAAGGAAACAGTTTCTGTGGATGAGAGTGGCAGTTTTTCCTGACCCATGTGTTCTTTGGACAGGTTAGCAAAGCTGTGATCTCAGGTGAGGTACAGCTGGCCTGTGCCAGCACCAGCATCTGTTCCAGGTGGGCATGAGGCATTAGGGCCTGCTAGTTGCCAGGTGGCTGCATTCAAGGGGCAAAGAGAATGCCCAGCCTACAGTGGTCTCATAGCAGGAGGCAGAATGCTAGTCTGGACCAGGAGTCCTGGGTTCCAGTCCTGCCACCCTAACCTCTCAGGACTTTCCAGCAGAGACAATGAGCTGTAAGTCTCAAGCTTTGGGGAATTCTAAAGATAAAGAAATTACTTTATTTCTGAGAATATTACTTTTTTTCTTGGCCATTAATGTTCTTTGCTGTGCTTTTTCTTCTCTCTCAATACTCTTATAGGTTCTGCCCCTTGAAAACAAAATGAAGGATCCCCGGAAATTTCCAATCATCCTGTATGTGGGAATGGCCATCGTCACTACCCTCTACATCAGCCTGGGGTGTCTGGGGTACCTGCAATTTGGAGCTGATATCCAAGGCAGTATAACCCTCAACCTGCCCTACTGCTGGTATGTTGGGGAGGATGGAAGCCCGGAAGCACTAGATAGTTTTTAAATCACTGTAATAGGTCAGAATGTAGATCCTTTCTCCTACTTATCTCTTCAGTCAGCCCACTTCACTGTAGCCCACTGCTCCCATCACCCCCAGGCCCGCCCGTCCCTTTGTGGCTACTCACCGAGCCTTTTGACCCATCGCCCTGCCTGAATCTTTCATTTTATTTTTTACATGTTTTTATTGATTTTTTAGAGAGAGAGGAGGGGAGAGAGATAGAAACATCGATGTAAGAGGAAACATCGATCGGCTGCCTCCTGCACGCACCCCACTGGGGATTGAGCCTGCAACTGGGCATGTGCCCTGACCAGGAATTGAAACCTCTCAGTCCGTGGGACACCACTCAATTCACTGAGCCACATCGGCTGGGCACCTGCCCGAATCCTAATCCTTCTCCAGATCTGGGCTCCCCCTTCTTCCCCCTGCAAGCTGCCTAACACTCAGTCCAGTCACGTATTCCCCTGTTGAGAACTCCTCAGAGGCTTCCCCTTGCCTTCCTTAATGTGCCTCGGGGCCCCTCAGGCTCTACCCCCCGACCCCCAATCCCACTCTGTGAGGAGCACTTGGTCTAGGAGTCACACACTGTGAGAAACTGGTATTGCGCTGATAGCAGCTTCAAGTCTCAGGGGCCCCTTCTCTCCGCTCCCATAGGATCCCATTAGGATTCCATCCTAATTTTCATTCCATCGTGTTGTAATTGTTCGTTTACCTGCACTGTGATCTCCTTGCACTGTGACCTCTGTGAGGGCAGCAGCCATCCAGTTCTCCATTTTATGCTAGCATCTGGTACGATCATCATCCAGTGAATGAATTTAAAAAAAATTATTTTTCATTTATTGATTTTAGAGAGAGAGGAAGTGAGAGGGAGAGAGATGGAAACATTAATGAGAGAGAACATCAATTGGCCGCGTCCTGCTTGCTCCTCACTGGGGATCAGGCCCACAACCTGGACATGTGTCCTACCAGGAATCGAACTGGCGACCTGTTAGTGCGTTAATTGACATTCAACCACTGAGCCACACAGGCTAGACCAGTGAATGATTTTTGAACAAAAAGGAGGAATAAACACTGAGACTGAGGCATTAGTTCCCAGCTCCTGCTGTGCCTCTCCCGTGCAGTCCCTGACTTGGTGTGCTCATGGAGGCCTCTCACCGTGGATCAGGGGTTGTTGGGAGCCCTTCTGTGTCTCACTTTTCTTAACTCTTGGTTGCTGTATTATATGGAAACACTGAAACACATTGAAATGCTTCCTAACAAGGTAGATGCCACAGGGTGTGTTCTAAGCAGCTGTTCTGTTTTGGAGATTAACATTTCATGGTGGAGAATAGCTGTGAGCAGACACTGAGACGCTAGCTGAGTGCCCTGGGGATCAGAGTAACTTTTCGGCTGGTGGTTGATCTGCCTCTGTTTTTCAGAGCTCTGATTGGTGAGGCATTATGCAAGGACAGACTGAGAAAACTGAGAAAAATGTTTATTCAATAGTGTTTAGCAAAGGATACCCTAGTCAGCAACTGTCTGGGGGCTAAATTTGCTGTAGCTAGTCAATTGGTAGTCCTGAAATGGGTTGTTTTTAGAAACTCTTTCTTTCTCTTGCTCTCTGGTGCCTGCTTTTAAATTTCCAAATGTTCTTACCCTATCAAGAATCAGATGGTAGTTTGGCATAAATGGATCAGGTGCAGCAGAAGTAGCCCACGTACTCTAAAGCTGTAGGTGGGCATCTGTCTTCTTTCCTCTGATGTTTCAAACCCAGCTATACTAATCTTTCTGCCACCATTCGGTTGCAGTTTATTTGGCCATCCCTGCAGGTGACTATCCTGATTCCAGACTTCCCAGCACTCCAGCAGGCTTTGGTGCTACACTGAGTGTAATTACAGAGCCACCAGCTGATTTTTCCAAAGAGTGTTTATTATCTATTCTTGGAGCAAGTAAGACCTTTTGTCAAACTCAGTCTCTCCCAGGGTATTCTCCTGCTTCTAGCATAAGAACATCTAGGTATTCAGTTCAACCACAGAGAAATTCATTGCATATTATACACAATATAGTCCGCACTTCTAAATAGATTTCCAACAAATGAGGTGGGCAGCCAGTGTTTCTTGTTGCTTAACGCATGAGGGTCTGGTTTGATGTGGAGTTTTGCTTAGGGGCAGGGTGGTCTTCCCTTTAATGATTATGGGAGATCCATAGTACTTGTACAACTTTTTTTGTACTCCGCATAGTGCTAAGCATGGACTAGATAGAGATATCGCATGGTGAGTTAATGGTCTTGAGAAGCTACAGATGATGCAGTGGTAGGAAGACCGCTGCAGTGGGGTGGAAAGATGGATATGCTCCTGCCTTTTGGTCTTGTGTGGTCACCATCTGATTCTAGGGATCACTGAATTGGATGGGGAGGATATAAATAAACAGGCTTGTTATATTTAATGGTATTTAAAAAAATTTTTTTTCTTTTTGTTGATTAAAAAAAATTTTTTTTTCTTTATTGACTTTGAGAGAGAGAGGAAGGGAGAGGGAAAGAGATAGAAACATTGATGAGAGAGAACATCGATGGCCGCCTCCTGCATGTCCCCCGCTGGGGATCAGGCCCACAACCTGGGCATGTGCCCTAACTGGGAATTGAATTGGCGACCTCTTGGTGCATGGGTAGATGCTCAACCACTGAGCCACACTGGCCGGGCCATTTCATTGTATTATTGTTTTTACTTTTGAAAGGATATATGCCCCTGGTAAAGATTCCAAATGTTCAAAGGGTACACAGAAAATGTTAAGTTTTCACTCACCTCCTTTAGTTCCCATTTCAGAGGCAAACATATTAACCAGTTTCTTATATTTTCTTCTGGAGATGTTTCATGTGTGTGAGAGTGTCACATATATGTGTATGTGAGGAGGAATGGCTTTTCTCTTTTTAAACAAATTGTAGCACACTGTAGACACTGCACTGCTTCATGAGGACACCATGATTCATTTAACCAGTTCCCCACTGATTAGCATTTCAACTGGTTTCAGACTTTTGTACTTAAATAATGCTGCAGTGACATATTTTGAATGTAAGTTTTTGTGCACATGTGCAAATATATCTGCAAGATAAATTGTTAGAGATGAAATTGCTAGACACATGCGTTTGTGGCTTGGATAGATATGGCCACATCACAACAGGACTGCACCATTTTGCACTATTCCTGCTAGTATATGAGCGTGCAGAGTGGCTTTTGAATGTATCTGGGCTCTCTCTGCAGGCTGTACCAGTCGGTGAAGCTGCTCTACTCCATCGGCATCTTCTTCACCTACGCCATCCAGTTCTTCGTCCCAGCCGAGATCATCATCCCCTTCTTCGTGTCCCGTGTGCCCGAGCATTGGGAGCTGGCGGTGGACCTGTTGGTGCGCACCATGCTGGTCTGCTTGACATGTGAGTAGAACACGGTGGGTGGGGGGGTGTAGCCTTGTTTGTTTTTTCCCAAAGGGCACCCAGCCTCCAGGGCTTTCACAAGGGAGACCTTGCATTGTAGTGAAGTTGCCAGTCTTGGCATGCTCTCTGTGTCAGAGTTGAGGTGTGTCCAGATGGTGAGGTGAGTTGATGACATATATACTCTTATTATTTATTCTATCTTTAGAATAATATAGGACTCTGTGATTTCTTTAATTGAACCAGAATTGAGTGTTTAGGGGTAAAATATGTGAATGTTGTCCAGCTTTCACTCATAGTATGGGAAATCAGAAATGATGTAATTGGTCACCTGTTAGCAAGAGAAGGGCAGGCAGGAGACTATCCTCTTCAACCACCCAAGAAAAATACAGAGAACAGACTGGTGCCTATCCCAGAATGGAGCTTGTCAGGGGAACAGATTAGTACCTACCTGAGGATAAACCTCTTCAAGAGAATAGCCTAGTGTCTGTCCCAGAATGCACCTCCTCAAGGGAGCAGACTAATGATATTGCAGAATGCACCTCCTCAAGGGAGCAGACTAATGATATTGCAGAACGGACCTCCTCAAGGGAACAGACTAATGACATTGCAGAATGGACCCCCTCAAGGGACAGACTAATGACATTGCAGAATGGACCTCCTCAAGCCACCTACAGTTCCTTTTTGTGGTACTTCAAGGATAGTGGGCAGAAGCTTATCATTCTGGATATCTGTGTGACAATAACTCCCTGGAACAAGGAACTAAAGGCCTTTCCATGACTTTCTGATTTAATCTTGGGGAGCATTCCTTCTGAGGATTTATATCTGGGTGGGGCTGGTTAGGAGCTGGGCAGAGGGTGGACACTGATTTTTCCAGGCCCAGAGAGCTGATGGCAACCATGAATCTGACTTCTTGTAGCCTTTATTTGGTAGGCCTTCAGCCTCTGTCTAGTCCAGCCTATAGAAATAACAAACTTAGCAACTAATCGAGGGCAGCCTGCTGGCCCAGAGCTATTGCAAATGAAGGAAGGTGATTTATTTTGCTTTTCCAGTAAATTGCCTAAATGCATGCCGATAGGATAGTTGGATTCTGGTTTTACCTATCTTCCGCCAGCAGCTCTGGATGCTTTGATTCAGATATGTGTGTTTCTTCTGTGGTGGATTAGTCATAAGTGTTGAGGAGACGGATTCCACATGCAGGTGTTCATAATGTCAACTATCAGAGTCCCAATTCTTGATCCAAAGGGCATTGGGAGAAAGGGTGAGTGAGGACAGTTCACGTCATTGCCTTTGTTTCAAAGTGTTCCTCTAGAGAAACTAGGTCTGTCTGGGTGAAACGCGCTGTCCCTGCCTAGAGAGCAGCTTCTCCCTGACCGAGAGCTGGGGCGGTGACGCTGGGCCTGATCCCTTCTGCGGCCCCATTTCCTTCTCAAGTCTGGCTTTAGCCTCCGGTAGCATATGCCTTGCTTCCTGCCAGGTTTCCTTCCACTGCTCCCTGCAGGAGCCACCAGTCTCTGATTCACAGACCTCATGCTGTCCTTAGATGACTCGGTTTTTGTTTCACTTTTCCTGGCTCTGGCTCTGTTTCTGGGTCTCACCTTTCTTCTACAGCATGATGCTCAAAGGACTCGAGCTGCCTTTGATCTTGAAGCGCATTCAGTTGTGTTTTTCCCTTCTGTGATCTCTTCTGATTTAGCATTGCATTGTCATCCTTTAAAAGGATGCAGCCCCTTCATCTCTGAGCACTCTGGCTTTCTGGCCTTCCCTGGAGACTCTGAAGCAATTGTGGGATTCAGGAGTGGCCTTTCACTGTAGCACCAATTTAAATGTATTTATGTGAGTTCATTTTGTTTTTGTTTCTTTGTACTTTCAGATCTTTTTGCACAAGATCAGTTGATATATGATTTTATTATTATTATTTTTTTTCTTTTTATCCTCACCCAAGGATATTTTTCCATTTTTTGTACAGATAGAGTGGGAGGGAGAGAGAGAGAGAGAAACATCGATGTGAAGGGACACATCGAGTGGCTGCCACCCGCACGACCAACCAGGGCCGGGGACAAACTGCAACCGAAGTATGTGCCCTTAGCGGGAACCGAACCCGGGTCTCTCCGGACCACAGGCTGACGCTCTAACCGCTGAGCCAAACTGGCCAGGGCGATATATGATTTTAGAGCTTTGATATAACTCATTATTTTCATAACCCATAAGTTTTAATGGAAGCTTGTTTTATGTTTATTTCTGGTGTTTTTCTTGTCTTTTCCCCAAAATTTTCTCCTCTTCCTCACCTTTCATTCTCAAGGAAAGTAGGGTAATTTGGTCCAGCCTCAATTTTTTTTTTCTAATTGGAATTGAACTTTCTCACCAATCTTCTCTGTCTCCCAGAGATTGCTCTGTCTGCTTTTTGATGCTGAATTTCATACTGCTAGGGAGAAGGGGCTGGGGAACTATGCATGTCAGAGTATGGTGCTCATTCTGTTATGATTTCATATGGGACAGTATTTACTTCCAGCCCATATGTTTAGAAAAGTCAACTCCACAGGTCACCTTATGACCAGGGCTTGTGTCAAAGGAGAGGCTAGAAGAGTCTGGCTCCACCTGGGGACCCCACAGATGCAGGAAGAACAATTTCTTAGGATTCCATGAGGCACTAACCTGTCCTTCAGTAGTCGCTACTAATTCTGTGTGGCATTTGCCATGTGAAACATTTCACTTCAGTTAGCTATGAGAATTTCAGAATCCTATTGTTGAAGATGTAATAACACAAAAGCCTATCAAATGAGAGGCCTGTTTAGACCAGAAAGCATAGCTGACAACATTCCAGCACCCAGGCCCTTTGGAGCACATAGCTTCCAGGTCCAAACAGAGTGGCTTCTCTGCCTGGTTTGGCCTTTCACAGTCTCGGCCTTGCAGCTCTGTGGGAAAGGGTAGCAGCGTAAACTAGCTGTGCCTGTGCCCAGCCCCAGGCACCCTTGTGAAGCCTGTTTCCTCAACTGTAAGATATGAAGGGTATCTCATCACCGAGGTTTCTCTCAAGTTTAAAATTCTGTAATTCTGCATAACTACTTTGAGCCTTATTTTAGATTTTGACCAAAATATTGCTTGGAAAAATAAAGTTAATGTAAAGATATTTGGAGAATGTCTAGATCTGGGGTTATTGAAGAAGAAATTCTCAATATCCCACTGACTTAACAAAATAATTTTCTTTTGCATTTTATCTTCTGTGTTAAAACTCATGGGTGCATTTTATTTTATTTATTTATTTATTATTATTATTTTTTTTATCCTCACCCGAGGACATTCTTCCATTTTTTGTATAGATAGAGTGGGAGGGAGAGAGAGGAAGGGAGAGAGAGAGAGAAACATCGACGTGAAGGGACACATCGAGTGGCTGCCACCCGCACAACCAACCAGGGCCGGGGACAAACTGCAACCGAAGTACGTGCCCTTGGTGGGAACCGAACCCGGTCTCTCCAGACCGCAGGCCGACGCTCTAACCGCTGAGCCAAACTGGCCAGGGCTCATGGGTGCATTTGAAAAAAAGTTTCAATCATAGTATACATATAACTTTGTCTTTTTAATTTTATTTAATATATCATATATATATATATATCCATCCTTCATAAATATTTTCATGACTGTGTGATATTCCGTTATATTGGTGGATCATCTTTACTAAACTACTTCTTTAGTTTTGGATATGTAGGTTGTTTCACTTGCTTTTGTACTTTTTGAATTTATACCCCTATTACATGAAATTATATATTCTCTCTATGACTATATAATCAACTTAAGGTAGATTTCTAGACATTTAAGAGTAACACGTGGGCTTTCCCAACATCAGTCATAATAAAACAGCAGAAAGAGCTTCTGGACACAGGAGCAGTAAGTGTTCAATTGGGATATTACTTTATATCATATTTCTGTGTGTGTTTGTTCTCTTAAGTGCTTTCTCTTCTTGTGCGTTAGTCAGCTCTTTCTGTTGCTGGTCTAAAACCACAGACTTCAGAATCCCAATCAGTTCCTTCTCTGAACATGGCCATTTGCTTCAGCCATTACACGATCCTGTTTGTAGTCTTTTAACCCAAAGGGAAGATGTTTTGTAATACCACTGGAGCCTCTTGAGTAATCATGTGGTCCGGCTGAGCTGTCCTCAGCCCCTGCTTTCTGTACAGGCCACCTCTGAGCTGCTGCAGAGGGCTCTGGACCTGCCAGGGGGCAGTGTGCTGTCTTCCTCTTGTATGGGGTGTTCTTTTGTGAGAGAGAGTGGGGGGAGGGCAGAGAGGGTATTCCCAGTTGGCTGCCTCCTGAGATCTCTACTTTCTTGAGTTTCTCTTTTTAGAAGGCTTTAACTCGTAAATACATTTACTGGTAAAGACATTTAAAGGTTTTAGTTGTTCCCATTTCTTTCCTAAGTACCTGATTCCTGCCTCTGGAGTTAGCATAGTGGCCAAACAGATATTCCTGCTGCTGAGCCCTTGGGGCTTTTATGCTAATTTGGATCCTCATCTTTTTCTCTTCCCCCATATTAGCGGGAGGCCCACTCTTATAACCTCCCTCCATTATCTTTCTCCAGTGTCAGGCTTTATTTAGGGTTCAGTTATGGTATCTGGTCCGGCTAGGAAGAGGGTCTTTCTTTTACAGCCCTGTGGTCCTGGCTTTAAGAGAAGTTTTCACCTGTTTGAAAATCTCTCTTAAGGATATTTTTGTTAAGTATGCTTATCTTGTTTATTCTTTGTAGTAAAAACAAGAACACATTTCTAGATTGCTTTAAAAATACCATGATGAAGCAGAACAACCCTATCTAGTCTGAGAAAAGATTCTGATCACAGAAGCTTCTGTTTCTGTTTCCACTTAATTCTTATCTCAGAGTAGATAGAGCACATCTGACTTCACACTATCATGACTGTCCATCTGTCCTTCAGGTTGATGTGAGACAGGGAGAGAATATGACAGACTCTCAGAGCTTGAAGGGGCCCGCCAGGTCATCTGTCTCCTCTTGCGTCTCACTGTCTCTGCTAAGGGCCTCCCTTCTCTTGCGTGGGCTGGAGCAGTCAGGGGCTGGCACCAGAGGAGTAACTCACACTCCCTTTAATGGCACAACATCGGTTGGGCTACAAGCTGTGTTTGGCACAGTCCTGTGTTCGAGGAGAGGAGTCCTACCTCTCGCTCTGCTGTGCCACCCTTGAGCAGCACACTGCTTCCCAGTTGACAGTGAGTTGAGGTACACAACCCAGGACACATTCCTAAGTTACTGAATGTGCATGTAAGTTGGGTGAGACTTCAGCAGTCCTTCAGTATTAGTGCAGTCACCTGTTCATGAGTAAAGAAACTGAGTCTCAGCATGGTGAGCCGATTTACCCTGGAGCACAGCCTGCTATTGAGCAGGGACTGGTAACTGTATTAGCTAACATTTTTTTTCTTTAAATAATCTTTTATTTTTCCATTACACTTGACATACAATATTGTGTTAGTTCCAGATGTACAACCCAGTGATTAGACATTTATAAAACTTATGAAGTGACCACTCTAATAAATCTAGTACCCATCTGACACCATATATATACATAGTTATTAAAAATGGCATTAGAATGATCATAAATATTATGTACAGAAGGATATAATTTAGTTGTAAAGTTTTTTGGTTTTTTTGGTTCCTTGGATATCTGAATTTATTTATTTTTGTTACAGATGTTTCTCCTTTTCCCCCCACTGACACTCCCCTCCCCCTCCCTCCCTGTCCTGTCCCCAGCTTTGTTGTCCATGTCCATTGTTCATGCGTACATGCATATAAATTCTGTGGTTTATCTCTCCCCCCACCCCCTCTTCTGGGGATTGTCAGTCTGTACCCCACTTCTATGTCTCTGGGTCTACCCTGTTCCTCAGACTGTTATGTTCATTATATCCCACATTAGCTAACGTTTTTGAAGCATTCATTATGTGCTTAGTCCTTTAAGATCTTTGCATTTGACAATCCCTATTTAGCAGTAGGGGAAATGAGTCAAAAAAAGGTTAAGTAACCGAATGGTTTGTGGTGGAACAGGAATTGGAGCCTAGGTTCTGAGTCCAGAGCCCGAACTCTCAACCACATTCCTGTATGGGCAGATCCCAGAGAGGGCAAGTGTCTTATTCTGGGGTACACTAGATCAACCCTTGTTGAGCATTAGGTTATCCATGATGAGAAGGCCATTTTGTCATCAACCTGCACTTTCTCTCCAACTTCAAATTCAGGGTTGGAGGAATATCACCCACTCTGTTTATTTGGAAATAGCTAAGGGCCGAAAAGGACTATTGTTAAAAGCCTGCACTTTTTGTAGACCTACTGGAGGCTTCAGAACCGTGAAGGGTGAATGCCCGTGGAGGATTGCCAGGAGGACAGGGCTGTCCCGAGGCTGCGAAACCACGGCAGGGCCAGGTTAGGCCCAGGACTCCTGTGCTCCCTTTGTTATCAGGCTTCGAGATCCTCGTGTTATTTCCTTTGTAAGGCCGAGAATGGTCAGGGCCGACTGTGTGCCGGGTCCTCCGCCAGACCACCGTGGTGTCTCCCTGGCACAGCAACCCAGTATCTGACTCCCCCAGTTCTTCACAGACAGGATCTTCCTGCTGATCAGCCAGACCCCCTGTTCTCCCTTCTTTTGTGGGTATGTGCGGTAGTCTGTATTTTCTTACTCAAAAGGTCTATGTGACTGTACCAGGGGCTTGAGGTCCTGGATTCTAGTCCCAGTGCTGTCAGTTTATATCATGTGACCTCTCTGGGCCTCTCTTTCCACAGGGACAGTCATGTTGTGGAGTCATATACCCATGGAGCTGAGGCAAATTCAGCTTAATGAATAGATACTTTGCTGTGCTGTCTGCTAGACACTTGACTGGTGATTTTCAGCTGGTGTGCTGCAAGAATTTTTAAAATATGTAATACCTGACAGTCCTAGTTTTGCCGGTCTTGCAGCGAGACCCAGGTTATCCCACCTCTTTGGGCATTTATTTTCTCATCTGTGGAACAGGATTGGGTGGGGTAATGCCTAGGTTTCCCTAGAGCTCTCCATTCCATGACAAGGATACTTGCTAAATTAGCAGAACAGTGAGGAGGTCTTTTCCGGCTCTGGGCAGCCTTGAACACCCATGTCCTCTCTCCCACAGGCGTCTTGGCCATCCTCATCCCCCGCCTGGACCTGGTCATCTCCCTGGTCGGCTCCGTGAGCAGCAGTGCCCTGGCCCTCATCATCCCGCCCCTCCTGGAGATCACCACCTACTACTCGGAGGGCATGAGCCCCCTCACCATCGCCAAGGACGCCCTGATCAGCATCCTGGGCTTCGTGGGCTTTGTGGTGGGGACGTATGTGGCTCTCTATGAGTTGATCCAGCCAAGCAATGCTCCCATTTTTATCAACTCCACCAGTGCCTTTGCCTAGCTATCTGGGTGCACCCCTGCACCTGCCCACCCCTCCCCTGTGTGTTCCCCAGCACCTGGCCCCAGAGCCTCAGGAGGGTGCTGTCAGGAACCCTGCTACCTGGCACCCAGGTGCCCTGGGGCAGGTAGACTGAGGGCAGGGGGAGAGTGGGTAGCAGTCACGCAGGAGGGACCTTTAGTGGCAGTGCCAGCATTGTCCGTTTGTACTTATTTTAACCCAGAACTTTACAGCTGTTTTCCCTCTTCCTGCCTCCTCCCTTACTTGCCTCTCTCCTCTGACCCTCCTCCCCCAAATGATTCTTGTTGCACAGCTCACTTTATTTAAACATTTTAGCATCTTCTTCCCTGGTCCAGGCCCAGATGAAATAAGTGAGAACTCTCCCTCTTTATAAAGCCGGGCCTATCTCTTTCTCATCTCTCCCCCAGATATTTTACCTCGATATTCACCTACCTATTTAAATCTCGAGTGGTGTCTGGATCTACCTAGTGGTGTAAAACCAGCCCCCAACTCTGGAGTTTTTAACCTTGACTCTCTCTGGCTTGCTGTGACCCTCAGCAACACCTTCTCCTCTCTGATTCCTTGTGTGGGTCACAGTACTGTATTCTTGGTTGCTTTAGCCCCCAAAGGATATTAAGTGCTGCCTCAATGGAAAATATTTATATTTTATTTAAAATTAGCTTTTGTTTTTAGACTCTCTAGATCAGGGCTTATTGTGAATTGTTCCTTCCTCAGTAAACTCGTACTCAGCTTCTCCGGCTGAAAATTGCTGCAGGAAGTGTCTGCCGAGGTCCTCAGCCCTCGCGGCCGAGTGCCTCACGGGTTTAATCAGGATCATCTAAACACGTACCTCTGTGGGGAGGCATGGCCTTTGCCTGCCACTGACCAGCCTGATGTCATTCTGAGCAGACATGAAGGACTCAGGAAGTATCGCCAGTGCACTAGGCTGAGGGAGAGGACGGCCGAGTGGGATGTGTCTCTGCTCACGGGAGGCGTGTAGAGCGGTGGCTTTGTGCATTCGGGCCTGTTTCCGAGCCTCAGCCCCTGACAGGCACACGGCATGGTGGCATTCAGTCACCATCGTGCTGGGAAGACACCCGCACTGTTGCCACGGATGAGACGATGAGGTCATTGTGCACAGAGAATGTGAAATTAAGTTCAGAGAACTTACAGCAGCTGGTCTGACACTAAGTGTGGTGCTTGGCTGTTCACAGTCAGCGGGGGACAGGGCAGACCGTGTCCTGTCCTGGCTGCCTCCGTGACCTGGACTCTAACGGAACCACTTGGTCGGGATTTTGGTTTCCTGTGTTCTAAACACTAATTGTGATGCCTGACCCTCCCCCTGCGTGTCAGAAATAGTCTCAGGGTTGGCTCACCTCGAGGTCAGCCTTCAGATCTGGGAACAAACTGCAGAGAAGGCAGAGGGCACCTTGCCTTGCTTTGGGCTGCCCCTTCCCTCTTTCAGAAGGGCGTTGTCACTAACTCTCCATCTCTTGAGCTGTGCATGTGTATGTGTGTGTTCATGCACATGTGGTAGGTCTTGCTTCCTCCATTCCTGTCGCTAGGCTTTGCTTACTTACCTTCGGCTACAGTTCGCCCTGAAGGTTGGGAGAGCAGCACAATTTTATCAGGGTTTTTTGTTTTGTTTTGTTTTGTTTTTAAAGCATATAATAATGATTTAATGTACATTTTTGTCAGGGGTTTTGTTTTTGTGTTTCACCAAAGCTCATGAGGGCTGTGATCCACCTTTACAGCCCCTGTTTTTTCTTCCTCTTCTGTTTGAAAGCCCAACTCTCTCGTTGCAGTGACTTCTAAGCAACCAACCAACTTATTAACTTTGGAAGATTGGTGGTAACTTGGTCTCCCTTAAGGGAATGCCACTTTCCATCCACCATTTCTGCTCTCTGGCGGTCTCTAACAGGTGCTCACACGACCAAGGTTCTAGCTGGAGGTGGCAGCGGCCCTGCACTCTGAAGCCTCAGGCTTAGAACTCCCCAGAGTGGGTTCAGGAACTGTTGTCTCCCGTTTGCAAGCCTGGGCTCCAGCGGAGTTCCCGCGTGGTCCTGGCTGTTTGTACGAGAAGATGCACGCCAGTGGAGGGGTCAGAGGGGTGTCCTGCTCGCAGCTTCGGCGGCGCAGGCTTCCGTGCATGCAGGGGCTGCCTGAGGCAGTCCTGTCCAGGTGGGCAGTGCCACGGACCGTGTGCTGGGATAACAGCTGGATAGCAGCACAATACGGAGTTCCTCTGGCCCCAGGTCTTAGTGAAATGCAGGCTATTGCTTCAGGGTCCCTCACCCAGAGAATGTGCTGTATAGGAGAGACAGCTAGTGTTGGGGCTTCTGGAGGCTAATTTGGCATGGCCCTTACCCTGTTTGATCTCTTGCCTGTACTCCTGCTCTGACAGCCTGATCTCAGCCGCTTCAGAAGACCAGGCAAAGAGGACCCAGTCAGTGGGCCTGTCTGGTTGTGTAGTTGCACTGCAGTTAGGCGTTGAGTAGAAGGCCAGCCAGAGGATGGCAGTGGAAGGGAGCCCCTCCTCCCCTTCTGGAACCCGCCCTCTGGGCCAGCTGAGGGAAGCTTTTTCTTCTGCTGCCTGTGGGCCTTCTGCAGTTGGTTTCTTCTCATGCTCGTTAGGAGCCAGCTAGCTGCCCAGCCTCTTCCTGTGCCTTGCTGGGAAAAGAGCTCCAGCATAAGTAGGATCTGATCAGGAGCAACAGAGCAAAGGCTTTCTGGAGTGTGAGGCTGCATCTACCAAGCCAAAGGCCAATCCTGGATTTTCTGGCCCAACACTGTTAGGCTCTGTGCCCCTCCCCAACCTCCCCAATGCAGCCCCAGATTTTATTAGCTCAGAGGTAGCAGCTCAGAGCTCCTTGATCTGTCTGCAAATGCCTATTGAGAGCTGGCTTCCAGCTCCCTGTCGGCGATGTATCTCCCCTTAAATGCAGGTGCTTGCTGGGAAAAGCATGACCTGGCACTTTCTATTCAGTTTGCCTATAAGTTGTCACCCTTCACACGTGGCATTATTTATAGTGTGCTGCTGTCCGGCTGCTAGGAGCCCTTCATCGGCACAAACCCTGGCCAGATATATGTGAATGTATGTATGGCAGGTCTTAGCTGAGAACCTGCAGCTTGTGCCCTCCCTCTCTGTCACTCACCTCCCCGGCCAAATTCATTGGCTGACGCTTGCTACCCACTCTCTGCACTCAAAAAAGGTAACAGTTTGCAATTTTAGTGATGATCCCACCAAACAGGTATGTTAGGAAAATCTTCCCCATACCCCCATATTCCTGTCTTGCTTTTTTTCTCCTCCAACTTTTACCAAAATTATAGAATATCATTTTTGTTTCACACTACATGTTTGCTTCATGTTTTTTTGGAAATGCAAAATCTCAGTTTATGTCTATTTATAGCTCTCTGTCCTCACTGTTCACAGTCAGGGGGTTTGTTCGGTGGGTTTCATTTCGTAGCTGATCGGAGGGCCCCAGCCTGGGCCCTGGTCAGAACACGAAGCTGGTTCCTCACAGTGGAGACACAAGTACAAGAGGCACAACTTGGTGATGAGGGGGTCGGCTCCAAATCTGCCTTAGAATTAAATTTCCCAAAGTACATTACAAATCGCCAAGACTATCAGGGGAAGAGGAGACAGTGTGGTTTGTCTTTGAAATCATGGTTGATGCTTCTAGGCGCTAGTGCTATGTCTGCAAGGCTGTTAGCGGTGACAGCTCTCGCTTGTCGCTTCTTCCCTGTCCTGTGTACATGGAGTCATTCCCTGGCCAGGGGACGTAAATGGTGCTGATGCCAGGTTGTCAGTTGGGGGGGGAGGGTAATGAGGGTGGAGGGTGCCTGTCATAAACTGTGTTTTTTTTTGTTTAAATCAAGGTGATACAGGGGAAGCTATTTTGTTTCAGTGAATGATGAATTATGTGACTTGTAAAACGTGTCAGTGAATGTGTGAATAAGAGGAGTATGAAAAACTGCGGTCCAGCAGAGCGTGGTAACCACCCAGCACCGCGCGTGTTGTGTGCCTGCGTGAATGTCTGTTCCCTCGTGGTGTGTACAGAGATCGGATCAGGCAGGAGCTCAGAGACGATCTTGTTTTGGGTTCTGCACACGGATCATGTGTTAAACTTTTCCTGTTCAATAAATGAATTTTATTTTTTATTTTTGAAGGTTGTGGTTGTGTCTTTGTTTTCACTTTTTTGTATATTTTTTAAATGTATAAAAATACCCTGCTTGATAGATCAACATGTTTCTAGTTTATTTCACGGAGCTCATCCGGAAGAATAGTGTAAACAACAGAACCATCTATGGAATTGAGAGTTCCCCCAAAAGAGGCCAGGTAGTGATTTTTCTGTTAGATAGTCCTGCCTCTCCTGTCTGCTCCTGCTTCTCTCGAAAGCTTGAGTAGGAATTCTCACCCCTCCTGTGCATATCCGGATCACCCATACCAGGTTTTATGCATCAGTGTGGCTAGGCTATAGTGTTGAATAATTCAGTTACTCATTCAAACACTAACCTAGGTGCTCCTCTGAAGGTATTTTGTAGATGTGGCTAAAGTCGATAATCATTTGCCTTTAAATAAAAGAGATTATCCTCAAAATGTGGGTGAGCCACATCCAATCAGCTGAAGGACCTTAAATGCAAAACAGGTTTGTCTGAGGAAGAAGAGATTCTGCCTCAAAACTGCTGCAGCATCAGGTTTTGCCTAAGAGTTTCCAACTAGCCAGCCCAACAATCAAAGTCAATTCCTTGGAATCCCTTCCTCTCTCCGTCTCTATGTGTACGTGCGCGCGCGTGTGTGTGTGTGTGTGTGTGTATCTCCATCTTACTGGATTTGTCTCTGAAGAATCCTGACTGAGATGAGAGGTAACACTCAATTTTCTTGAAATTGGGGGGTTGATTTCAAGGCAGTGGAAGAGACGACTTCCCTTCTCTTTTTTGTCACATTTAAGAAGAAAAACAAGAACATCTGACGGACCCTGAGATAATTTGAAAACAGATCTTTGTTGGCTACGGAATTAGACTTGTTCAAAAGCAAGGCCCTCAAGGAACACTGTTAAAGTGGAACACTTTCCCAAGAGAGGATGGTAGGGAATGTATTATGTCCATTTTCAATTATATTATTACTGGAACGGGGGTGGGTGGGGGTGTCAAAGAGATCCAGGGATTGTTCCAAGTGGCAGAACCGGTACACACAGGCCCTGTAATTCCAGAGCCCCAGTGCTCCCCTGGGTATTGGCTGCCTCCCCCTCTTTGTTACTGCCTCAGGAGGGAGATCTTTAGGGGCTGTTGTGAGGGTTAGTGTTACAAGGTGCCTGGCAGGAAGGGCTCATGAAATATTTTTTGAAATATTAACTGAATTGAAAAAAAAAACAAGACTCAGAAGTAGTTTTCTCGTTTTTTGGTTATGCACACATTGTAATTGGGTCTTGCTCACTTATTTTGTATAGAGCATTCAACCCTTGTTAGATTGTTTGCTTCTTTACGTTTTTATTGTGCTCATATCCTGGTCATAATCCTTCCTTCCGGGTAACCAGAGCCATCACGGTAAGTCCATCGCACTGCTGGAGACACAAACTTGAGTGACAGTGAACTGAATTTGCACCCTGTTCCTGGGGCTCTTTACTAGGTAGGCTGGCTTCCTTAGACTCAACCCATTGCAGACAGGTACTAAGAAACTGTTTCATTAATGTTCTTTGCTACACCCTTGGCTATTGGTCTCCCTCCACCATTTTTTTTTTTTTTAAATTAGGGTATAATCTACATATAATAAAACAGGTACATATAATGTACCTGTTTTTTTTAAAGTATACAGTTTGATGGGTTTCGACAAATGAATGCAGTCATTTGACCACCACTTCAATGAAGATGCAGAATGTTTCCTTTATCCCCAAAGTCCTCTAGAACCCCTTTGCCATCAATACCATCCCCACGCCACTCAGCCCTTGGTAAGAGCTGATCTGATTTTTTTGTCTTCAGTTTTATCTTTTCTAAAATGTCATATAAATGGAATCATTAAGCATGGAGTCCTTCCTGTTTGGCTTCTTTCACTTAGCATAATGCTTTTTAAATTCATCCTTGTGGTTACATGTATCAATCATTTGTTTCTTTTTGCTGAATAATATTCCATTGCATGGATGAACCATACTTTATTTTTCTTTAGTTCGGGGGTTCTTTGTCTTCCCATTTTAGTTGTCTCCTTGGGTTTGTATCTATGTATTGGATGGACTTGCTATGACTCGCAGTCTCTGTGTGACGGGCTTTTGTAGTAAATGTCCTGTGGGACCCAGTGGTGTGGTCTTGTACTACTGCGCTGGATGCTCTAGGAATGACCCCTTTGTAGGTTATTTTGGTTCTCCTGTTGCAATTGGGTCTTGACTGTTGTCCTGTTCGTGGGTGGCTAACTGTGGGGCTCAGCCACAACCACATCCTGTGAGCCATCGCCCAGGTGCCGGGGCTGTCAGCGGGAACACCTGTATGTGGCCTCTTCCTGTGTCGGGCTTCCTCACAAAACGCTGGCCAAGTTCAAAAGCTGAGCATCTTTTGCACTGCCCTCACCCCAAAGGCCCTGTCCTTCTTATTTATTTTTTAAGTTGAATTTATTGGGGTGACATTAGTTTACGAAACCATACAGGCCTTTAGTATACAACTTAATAAAACATATTAGCACACTGCATCGTGCGCCCATCACCCCAAGCAAATCTTTTTCCATCCCCATTTTCCTTCCCTTTGTTCACCTCCACCTACTTCTTACCCACCTTTCCCTCTGGCTGTCACCACTCTCTTGTCTGTGCCTTTGTATTACATATACATGCGTGGGTTTTGTGTGTGTGTGTGTGTGTGTGTGTGTGTGTGTGTGTTTGCTTAATCCCTTCACCTTTCATCTAGTGAACCATAATTTATTCATTTTGCAGTTGATGGATGTTTGGGTTTCTTCTAGCGTTTGGCTGTTATGAATAAAGCTGCCATAAATATCCATGGACAGTTCCTTGTATAGACATATGTTTTTATTTCGCTTGGGTAAATGCGTAGGAGTAGAATTGTGGGGTTGTATGTAAGTGTATACTAGCTTTATAAGAAATTGGAAAGTTGTTTTCCAAAGCGGCTGTGCTATTTTGGGTTCCTTCCAACAATTTATAAAAGTTCCAGTTGTTCCATATACTCACCAGTACTTAAGAGTATGGTCTTTTTGATTTTAGCTGTCTTAATGGATATGTAGCCAGTCCCTCATTGTGGTTTTAATTTGCATTTGCCTGGTGACTAATGATGTTCTACATCTTTTCCTGGGCTTATTTGTCATTGGTCTGTCTTCTTAAAGTATTTGTTCAAATACTTTTCTTCTTTGAACATTTAGTCTGTTAAAGAAATTTTAAGCTTCTTATTTTGAAGTAATTATAGATTTGCAGGAAGGTACAAAGAAATGTATAGGGAGGTCCACCCTTCTCCACGGTTCCCCCAATGTTGACATGTTGCATAACTATAGTACATGGTCAGAACCAGGAAATTGACATTGACAAAATCCATAGAGCTCATTCAGCTCTCTCCAGTTACATATGCACTCATTTGTGTGTGTGTGTGTGCATGTATGTGTGTGTAGCTCTAAGCAATTTATCACATGTATAGTTTCCTTCACCACAATTAAGGTGTTTAACTCTATCATCACCACAAGACTCCCCATGCTACCCTTTTATAGACAAACCCACCTTCTGCACTCTCTCCCATATCCCTAAATCCTGGCAATCACTAATCTCTTTATCTCTGTTATTTCACGAATGCTACATCAATTGAATTTTACTGTATGTGTCCTTCTGATTGGCTTCTTTCACTACGTATAATTTCCTTGAGGATCATCCAAGTTGTTGCCAGTATCAATTATTTGTTCCTTTTTATTGCTAAGTCGTATTCCATGATATGGATGGAGGTACCAGTCATCATTGAAAGAAATTTGCAGTTACCTGGTCTGGCTATTACAAATAAAGCTGCTGTGAATATTCATGTACAAGTTTCTGCGTGAAAATAAGTTTTTATTTCTCTGGGATGTGACCACAATGGTGCGATTCCTGAGTTGTATGGTGAGCCCATTTTTAGTTTTTAGAAGGAACTTCCAAAGCATTTCCCAGAGTGACTGTACCATTTTTCATTTCCACCAGCAATGTGTGAATAATACAGTTTCTCTGTGCCCTTGTCAGCATTTAATGTTGTTATGCATTTTTTGGCCATTTATTAGATCTTGTAAATGTTTTGTTAGATTTATGCCTAAGTATTTACTTTTCTTTGTAACAATTGTAAATGGTGATGTTCATTGTTCATTGGTAGTGTTTAGAAATTGATCTTTTGAGTGTTAATGTATCTTGTGACCTTTCTGCACTCACTTAATCATAGTTCTGTGGGTTTCTGGTTAGATTTCTTGGAATTTTCTATGTGAACAGTCATGCTGTCTGCAAATACATAGTTTTATTTCTTCTTTTCCAAAATGTATACTTTTTTTTTTTGCCTTATTACAATGGCTTGAGCTTCTAGTACTGTGTTAAAAAGAGAGGTTACAGGACTTCCGGTCAAGATGGCGGGTAGGTAAACGCGGTATCGCGTCCTCCCATAACCACATCAGAGTTACAACTAAACTACAGAACAACCATCATTCAAAACCTCCTGAAATCAAGCTGAATGGAAGTCCTACAACTACGGAATTAAAGCAGCAGCCGCATGGAGACTGGTAGGAGGGGCGGAGGCGGACGGGCTGGTCCCACACCCACGTGTGGCTGGGAAGGTCCTCCCTGAGGACTGAGGGGTCCCCATCCCACAT